CCAGCAGGGGGCGTCTAGGCTGAGCCCCACTGAGCAGAGCCCGGCCGAGCCCAGAGGGCAGGGAGCACTTTCCCCCCATCGGGGTCCCTGGCCTCGTCTCTCAGAGCCGGAGCTTAGCAGGAGGGTGGAGCTGGCAGGTGAGAGGTGTCCTGAGCAGCTCACCTGCCCCAGTGTGGCTGACTCCTCTGACCCGGTGGTTAACGGCCAAAGGCTATGCAGGCCCCTGGCCTGGGAAATTCTGGAAGGTTACAGTGACCCTTATCACACTAAGCCCTGGATGTCCCAATTTGGGAAAGCAAAGAATTTGGGAAAAGTGGATCACTCTCCTGATCGTTTAGGTTGAAAACCAGCCACTAGGGGGCAAGGACGCATTAAAAGGTAACAAAAGCCATGAAAATCACACTCATTGCCTTTGATTGACTAACATAACTCTCGGGAATCCAGCCTGAGGAGGAAACCTAAAACACGTATATACCTGAACAGTTTTATTAGTCTTATCCATTTATCTATTTTTAAGCAACTTAATGTCAAAGGCAACTAGTGAAATAAATTGCTGTTCTACTCGATGGACTATTATTTAAGTAATTACGAAGGCCAGGCAGCACCTAGAAAATGCCGTAACGTTAAGTGAAAAATGCCAGAAGTAAAGAACGCATGTACTCGATGATTAGAACGATGCGAAAACTGTGTGAATATTCCCATGGGAGGAAATGTACAAAAATTAAAGCTTCTGTGCTAATACGGTGGGGCGATGTTTCTGTTTCCCGAACTTTCTCTGTATTTGTTATGTTCTGTGACCACCCAGACGATGTGCTGCATTAACAAACACACTGTTCATTTTAGCACAGGGATGACTTCTCCCTGCCAAGCCTGTGAGTAGCTGCGCTGCCTGCCTCTCCGTGACGGTTCCCGAGTAGCCCCTGTCCCCTCGTCCCCAGTTGGCCATCGACCGACTGTCTTTCCTTCATATCTGCCAACAGGTTTGGGGGCTCCTCTGGCATAAGAATATAATCCTCAAACCACCCTCCATTGGCTTCATAACTTGTTGAAGCCACTTCCTCTTCCTTTTATTCTGTTAGAAACTTCTAGAAAGAGAATTCAAAACCCGCTCCCTCTGATGCCTCACCACGTTATTCATCTGCATCTTCTTTGGCTTCGATCAGCAGCTGACCCAACCTCGTTCCCACCAGACTTCATGGAGACTGGGCCCCGCTCCCCGCACCCCAGCTGCTGGCTGGAGTCCAGCTCTGACTGAGCAGGAAAATCCGGGACAGAGCAGCAGTCGCCCACCTGACCCCGAGGGTCACTGGGCCTACTGCTGCCAGCGCACGTCACCCGCTCCGCTGGCCACCGGCCCACGACTCCTCTGTCCCTCTGGACACTACGTACTGCACGCAGGCTGCGTCGTCCCTGAGGCTCCTGGTGACAGCCGCGTCCCATCATCGCCAGGCACATCCCTTCCCCCGTCAGCCTGACGTGCTGAGGTCCCAGCCTGTCCCACTGCCGAGTCCGCGGGAATAAACGGGGGTGCTCTAGTCCTGCTCTTCACCCCACGATTTCTCTTCCACGTCTGCTCCCTTTGGCCATCTCCCCGCAACCTCTCCGAGGCTCCCCCACTACGATGTGAGGGAGGCTCCTTCTTTTGCATCTGCAGAAGCCGGTACAGCCCTTGGCAGAGAGCAAATGCTTAACTGACGTTCACTGAAGGGCGGGTGGACGCACAGGGAACAAACCAAGGCCCAGCCCCACCCGCTCCCCTGGGCTCCACGCCGAGCAGGGGACATCTCCTCCTGATGTCCAGACGGCCTCTCTAGCCCAGCGGACCTCAGGGAGAACTAAGCAGCTCCCCCTGCAACGAGAGCACCTGCTTACACTGCGGTCCCCAGCGTCCTCACAGATCCCGCCCTCTACCCCGCCGGCGCCCAGAGCCACAGGCCCCTCGGGAAGCTCCCCGTGCCACCTGCCCTTCCTGTCTCTCTCCCCGGCCCCCTTCCGCACGTCCTGTGCTCCAGACAAGCTGGACGATTCAGCTCCCTAAACACATGACCTGCATTTTTTTAAGGCTTAATTAGGTTAAAAGACAAACTAGTATAAGCTCAGTGTAGAAAACTGAGACATTATATACGATTACGGATTCTGTATAATCTATTGAACACCTCGGGTTTTCCCAAATTTTCATGCTGATGAGTAACGATTTGATGCAGACCCCGGCCCATAAATTTTAGCCACATCTTCAACCATCTCACCAGTAATGGAATTATTAGGCCGAAAGGTATGCGCTTTCTAAGGCTTTCGATGCATGGGTCCATCGATTCACACTGCACCGGTTCACACTCCAACTCGAGTATCAAAGGCTGCACCGGTTCACACTCCAACCAGAGTATCAAAGGCCGCACCGGTTCACACTCCAACCAGAGTATCTGCGGTGCTCATCTCACTTGGCCTCTGTCAGCACCCAGCACCAGTTTTAAAAAATCTGTCGATTTCACAGGTGGAAAAGGACACCTGATATTGTTACCTCCGCGCCGTTTCTGGTGTTCTCTCTCTCTGATCGGTTTTCTCTCCTTTCCCTCCCCCGCTTCCTGAGCGTCCCTTCCACTCGTGAACTTCATCCCTCCTGTAAAACCTACCTCTGATCCGCCCCCCCACGAAACCTTCCCGCCCGCAACGCAGCCCATCGTGATGTCTGCGTCTCCGCCATGTTCGCTCCGCCTTGCGGTCAGATATCCCGTATGGCTTTCTCATTCCCTATTTCGCCTTAAATGCCCCGAGAACAGGCCCGTATCTTCCTGCAGTGTGTGCCGCATCTTAAGAGCGCAGAAGAGTAGAATCACATTTCCGTGACACAGGGAGAGCCCGTCTTCAGCTACATTACTGATGGCGTATAAAGCTTTAGCGTCGTGGTGGGATAGAAGTTACCTTATCTAAAAAAACACCCTACGGTAAAGGCAGATTCTCACCCAAAGAGGGATTGCTTAGGAAAATACTGCCATTTTCTTTGCCTTCGTTTAAAGGCGGGGACAAATGAACAATATTCTGCCAAGTGGAAAAGGAAGCGGGCTGCCAAAGAGTTACGCATACCTGTTTCTGTAAAAACAAATAACATTCCTGTCCGTGTAAAGTGTATTATATACACATTCACGGGCACAGAGGAAAGTCTGGAAGTATGTATAACAAAAACGGCTATTTCCCAATAATTACTGTGTTTATGTGGATGCCTTAAGAATACTTTTGAAATTTCACAGAAACACAAAGTAGGCTGTAACGACCAAGTCCAGAATTCGATGCTCTGGTGTCTGAGGCCTTTTGTAAGATTCAGCGTTGGCAATGCTTTCTCCTTCGGTGTCAAGGACAGAAACATCGGTCAGGTGTCTGTGGAGCTTCTGTCACCTCCTAGAGCGTGAGAAGGTTGTATTTCTTTGAACAATGACTTTGACCAATTATCAATTTGTTTTCAAAATAAATGATGTGCCAGAAATCTATTGATATTATTCTGTTGTATTTTCAATGATGCAAATGACAAACCACTCATTAAGCTGGAATCTGCACAAACTGCCAACGTTAGTGAATTTAACGCTGGCTTTAGAATGATAAACTATTATTAGCTCTCTGGGAACTTAAGCAGGAAAACGTTTTATTTTCTCATCAAATGCATTTGTCTAGCTCTGTTTTAAATACCTATCAGGCCACGATGCACATGGAGGGACAGAGTGGGCAATGCCTTGGAGAAGAAACAGTAGTGGGGAGAGAGAGACTTAAGACCAAAGAAGTTTTCATCAGAAATGGGGGGGAAAATGGGATTCTGATTTGACGCCTCTCAAATGAGAAGCACAGGGTTGCTGCGCATCAGAAACCCAAAGATTGTTCCCTGAATGAATGAATGAACGAATGAACGAGAAGTGGGCTGTCTCAGGAGACAGGGCAGATTTGTTGTTATTACTTGATGAGTTTTAGAACCTGAATAGAGAACTAATGGAAAAGGAAAGAATGTTGCTGGTGTCTGCTCCAGTGAACGGATATTGGTAGAAAACGGTTCTGAACTGGTCTTAAAATACAAAAAGATGAATCAATCCTAGATTTGGGGAGGTAAAAAAGAAGATAATTATATATAAAAATTCATTTAGATTCTCTAAAACTCAGGGCCCTCACTTGCCGTATT